CCGCCGCCGCCGCCGCGTTTCCCAGGGCCGGCCGCCAACCCACCTGGCAAGGAGCGGGCGCACCCTCACGCAGACCGTAACGTCTCCTTCCCCGGCCATGGCCTTTCCGCCTCTCTCTCTTCTCCCCTCAGGGCCCGCGTTTGAATTTCCACCAAGGCCGCCTCTGATTGGTCCCGCTGCTGGGCCGTACCATTCTCCTCAGAGAGGGGGAGTGCCTGGACGGGCGCATCCATCTACGCTTTTACAAGTAGGGAAAGCCAAAGTGCGTTCGGGCCTATACAAGCTGCCATGCCTCTTTGGTGGTAGTGCTAGTATCTTTGTTCTCCGTCGCCTCAAGGCGTGGAAAGTGGATAGGAGGAAAGAATTTCCTCCCCTTTCCTTCCTAATTCTCCTTATAGAGTCATTTAAAGGCGCTCAGCCGTGTAAGCCCGCTGGGGTTACACTCTCTCAGCCTCAGGATGGCCATGGCAAGTTCCCTCTGAAGAAACTTGCCAGTCACACTTTCTCAGCCTCAGAGGATGGCCATGATAACCTCCTGTGAAGAAACTTGCCAGTCACATTTTCTCAGCCTCAGAGGATGGCCATGATAACCTCCTTTGAAGAAATTTGCTTGTCACACTTTCTCAGCCTCAGAGTATGGCTATGGCAACTGTCCTCTGAAGAAATTTGCTAGTCACACTTTCTCAGCCTCAGAGGATGGCCATGATAACCTCTGAAGAAACTTGCCAGTCACACTTTCTCAGCCTCAAAGGATGGCTATGGCAGCCCTCCTCTGAAGAGATTTGCTAGTCACACTTTCTCAGCCTCAGAGGATGACTGGCCAACCCTCTGAAAAAACTAGCTAGTCACACTCTCTCAGCCTCAGAAGATGGCAATGGCAAACCCCTCTGAAGAAACTAGCTAAGAAAACCCTATGATAGGTTCACATTATGGTCACTATAAATTGGAAATGATTTGCAGGCACACAACAACAACAAAAGGAACCCACTCGGTGCCCTTGAATGAGTCACACTCTCTCAGCCCCAGGGGAAGGCAATAATTGTCAAGGAGTCTATGTTGTTTGCTTTCAAGTCATTTCCAACTTATGACAACCATGATGATGATGATGATGATGATTATTATTATTATTATTATTATTTCGCCTCTCCCCATGGATCCAGGTGGGGAACTATGACAATGAACAGATAAATAACATCAGTTCAAACATATCAGTTTAAAATGACAAATAACATATACACATATGACTCCTAAGGCCTGGGTGAAGAGATGTCCTAACCATAAAGGAGGACAAGGCAACTCAAAATGTAGGACATTCACAAAAAATGCAGGATATGACAAAATAAAAGCTAAAAATACTCATATAAATATAAATTTAGTCATGCTCAAAATGAAGGGCATTTTGGAATTCCTCCTGGACAGAAGGTGGAAATAGAGGACGTGCCCTAGAAAAGGAGGACATCTGGTGACCCTGCCACTGGGTGATCTTGGGCCTTCACACTCTCTCAGCCTCAGAGGATAGCAATGACAAATCCCCTCTAAAGAAACTTGCCAGGAAAATCCCATGGTAGATCGCCTTAGGGTTGCCATAAGTCAGAAAGGACTTGAAGGCACATAATAACAAAAAGGAGGAAAAAATGTGGCAGCAGCTTTAAGAGGAACTGGTTTTCTATTTTTGAATGGGTTTTCGTGGATCTAATTATAAATCCACTTCTTTGGATGCAGTACCCAATGGTATTAAGGCCTCAGGTATAAAACTTATTCAAACAGTTGTGGGAGTGGGATACAATGTAATAGGATCCAGAAAGATGCCCATCACAATCCTTGCCCTGTTTTGAAAGGGCTGGAAAAATTGATACAAGTCTTTCAGATCTTTACAATGGCCAATTAGGGTTGATGTGGGAAAGCAATAAATCTGCTTACCAAAAGTCAAGTTTCCCAGGGTTCAAAACTCTCTGAGGAAATTCCTTTTGTTGCATTACAATAAATACCTCACCCAGCCCTTTGAAAATTTAGGGCAAGGGAAATTATTTGTGCCTTTCTGGATACTACTGTATGGCATTCTATCCCATTCCT